CACACATTTATTTGTACGGGTATCTACCCAATTATCTTCAAGCTCCTGCCTACTTGTCCCTTGGTATTTAAGTATTTGTCTTTAGCTATTGATGTATTATGTCCCTAAGAGTAGGGATACGAATGTTCACTGCTAATGTAGACATGTTTATCCATACATGAGTAACAAACATGCACCCGTCTCATCGATGCAACAGTGTCCATAACGAAAAGGACGTTTTTGTAACCACTTGTAGATAAATTTGTCCTTAGGTATAAACAATTTAGAATGTCCATTAGCTTATGGAGAAAAACTTCCTCTCTGTTTCTGAGGGTGTGGGTAGTTTTGGTGACGGTAAAGGCATGTTTACGACTATTTGCCGCGTGTCTGTTCGCACGAAAGGACATTAAACTCCTTACTGTACTTCACGCTTTCCTTTGCGACGCTCGCTGCCGTTCCTTTATATAACACGATTTTGTCTTTGGGTAAATGGGGCGTCACCGTAAAGTCAAAATTTTCGCGCGTTACATGAGTAAGTAACTTTGCCTTAGGGGCCCGGTTAAACGCTACGAAGTGAGACGAGGCGTTGTTTACACACGAATACAATCACGTTCACAAAGGTCGCCGTGGCTCGCATGCCGTGATCCAGTTAACTTATTTTATTCAAAAATCTCACTCTTATGCAGTTATACCATAGATAATGCAATACTTCCAGTTCTTGCTTCCATTTGGCAGATCATTATGACCGTGCTGAATTACTCCTTCACGATTAACTATTAAACATATGTGTGCCCTAGCCTCCTTGCGCGAGGAGGACGGTCACGTTGCCTAGTCATAAATATGTAACTCAAAAGACGCGGCAATAAATTTTGTTGAAATATTTTTTCCTGATTCAGTTTGACATTCTGATTTTAAACAAGCAGGCCAGCCCTTCCGCCAAACGAAGTTGCCAGCTCCGCTTCGCTCGGCCGGCAACTCCGTTCGGCAGGGCGCGGGCCTGCTTGGCCTGCCGGCGGTGATGGTCTGTCATGCGGATTGCTGAAGAACATGATCAAATGATGTTACGGTCCTTCAGCGCGATAAAACCCGTCGTCTTTGAAATTTGCCACGTACACTTTAAATGGAAAGGAATTTTTTTTTTGTACATTCAACTAGCAACAAAATGTTTCTCCACAAAAAATCGGTGGACAAAAACGTGTCATTTAAAAGACAAATTGTGTCATTATAAGGGACAAAATGTTCCTTGAACAAATTGTCCCCTCCTTGGAAATAAATTTGTTGCGAAAAAGGGGACGGATTTAAACGTCAACTCGCTGGGACAAATGTCTTGTCCACGAAACAAGAAACAAATTTGTCCATGAGGTTAGAACAAAATTGAAATTTGTCCTCTCTAACGAAACAATTTTGTAACTTGTAAATCCCTTCCCTTGTTATGGACAAAATTGTTCTTTTCTATTTAGAGTGTAGACACGAGAAAGAGGTGTAACGGTAAAGCACCGTGACTACATCCCACCCTTCTGCTAAGAAAACGTTTTTTTTTTTCTTGAGGGGGATGGGGGTGGAGGGAGTTTGTTCCCTTTTTGCGGTTTTTAGCCCGCCCTTCTGCTTTGAAAAAGCTATCCAGCGGGCTTATGCAAACGACCTCGTGTGTGTCTGTCTGTGTGTCTGTCTGTCTGTCTGTCTGTGTGTCTGTCTGTTCCACAAGAAGGAGATGTGCTAGAGACTTCAAATTTTCAGGGGATCTCAAGGTTCACTCCCACAAAACAAAACGCCT